ATAGGCCGTGTCCTCCAGGACACAGCATCAGGCTGCGACCTGCGCTTTTTTGGGGCAGGGCTGACTGCCAAACCTCGAGGAACCCTGGCCAGGCCAAGTTGACACAAACCCCCGAATCTCCTCCTAAGAAAACTTCCTTTTCTTCTTCCTCGGTAAAAGAAACATTCTATTGTGTTTTAGGTGCGCGTTCACACCACCAATCCATTTCCCATTCAACAATTGATACACAATTGGTTGTCGTCCTGGTGGTGGCTCGGCACTCTCCCTGTTTCTGCCCCCACGCTTTCCCCTCCCATCCCTCCAGGCTCCCTGGCCCTCCTGGCCTTCTCCTCTTGGCTTTGGGGCAAACATTGCACACTTGGTGGTCTGACGCTTATTTCAGATCTGTTATTTGGCTGAACCTGTGGGTGCGGCCTCAGGTCAAGGGTGTTTCCGGGAGATAGTCTTGGGGGTTTCCTCCAGTTTCTATCAGTCCGATAATAGAACTTTTATTTGAATTTTGTTACTTTTTCCTCCTGTTTGAACTGGGTCGTTCTGTTGTGTCTCTGGTAAGTGCCGGGCACCGTCTATCCCTTCTGGTCTCAGGTCAGGGGAGGCTGTGCTTAGTGCAGCGTTATCCTGTGGACTGCCTGCTTCCACGAGCCGTGGTGCCCTCCACTGTCCTTTATGACCTCGTGGCTACAGCTCCCTTTGATTTTGAAGTAACCGAGAGTTTAATAAATTAATTGAGAATGTCCTTTAATGTTATCACCCCCAACTTTATTATTATTATTTTTTTGCATCTTTTATTTATTGTTTCCCCTAAAGGGCCAAACCAATCCAGTTGTCATTGAATTCACACTAATTTATGATCACCTCATGGAATGTCAGGGTAGAACTATGTGACATGAGCGTATTAGTGAACAATTTTTTTAGATTTAATCTGCAAGCAGATTAAATCTGCTTCTGGGTGGACTTAGCCCTCCAAGCACTCTGGGACTGACTCTCTCAAGGGCTGGACAGTAAATATTCTAAGCTCTCGGCCTTAAGATTTCTCAACTCTGCTGTTTTATTGAAACACAGTCAGGAACCATCTTTGAGTGACCAACTCAGATGACCAGCCACCGGGCCACTGGTTTCAACCCTTGAAGACAAAGTGGATTTTCTTTCCTGACTCAGTAACATTGAGCCGGTCTACATCTTGAATAACCGCGCCCAAGTCTCTGCTGCATTTTGGAGGGGGTGGTGGTGGATGCGTCATATTTGTATGTAGGGTCTTTACAACTGTGTTCAGGGGTGAAATTAATCCTTTGTGTTGTGTCTGTGTTGATGTCAGGCTTTGCTTCGTGAAAAAGCACAGGGCAGCTTTACTATCTGCACAGCACAAATGATTCTTTTGGAACACTGATCGACCTTTCCCTGGAAGAAACCATCTTGGTCTAATGTCTTTTTTGGGAGGTAGTTCTTTGAGGTAACTTCTACTTCCCACCCCCACCCCCCATGGATATTGATCACTTCATATTTTCTACTACTTTTGAGTCAATTGCAGCCATTCCTTTTTGTCCCCCATCCTCAGAAAACCATCTACTACATCTAGATTTCCCAAGGTGTTGGCATTAATTCAGGCCTAGTATTTAAATATGGTAGTACTTTAATCCTCTCCCATAACATCTTTGCAAATGTTCCTTCTCATCCTGATGGGCGGTGGTGGCAGATACTGTCGGATTGATACCTACTTCTCGGGGCACCATATGACAGAGTGGGCCTGCCCCAGAGGGCTTTCTAGGCAGTAATCCTTGCCGGAACAGATCACCAAGCCTGTCTTCTGCAGAGATGCTGTGTTAGTCTGGGGTGACTAGAGAAACAAATCCAGGGAGACTCATAAGTGATAAGAAAGAGCTTTATATCAAAGAGCAATTATATATTGAGAAACATCCCAGTCCCGTCCAAATCAAGTCCATAAGTTCAAAATTAGCCCATATGTCCAATACACGTCCATAAATTCCCGTTTAGACACACACACAGCTGTGCAATGATGCAGAATGCAGGAAGATCACAGGCCAGTGGGTGGGAACTCTTGTGGATCGAGTGGCAGTGGAAGACTCTCAGCACCTGTGTGGGTCTCCATGTGGCTTCTCCCGCTCCAGAGCTCTGGCTCCATTAGT